TGATTAAGAACCTATTTCAGAACTTTTTGGCACATTATTAATCGTCCTTCGTAGTTAGAATAATATCAATAGTGCTTTCTCAGTAACATATAAGATTACAAAAAAAGGACATTATTAGTATCGTTTGTAGGTAAAGTAGGCTAAAAAGCGGTAGATTTTTTCAAAGCGTGTTCCAGCGTGACGGAGCTAGATGACTGTTGTAATATGTTGAATAATAAATCGTATTCTCTTATATTTTCGTTATGCTATGCGTGACGCCATCTGTTGCACCATAGTGTAAACAATAATGACGTCAATAATATATTTCAATTATGGCCGTTTTTGACTTCATGTATATACAGTGTTTTGACAGAAATTGAGATTATTTTCTACTTTTAATATATTACAATAAAGTGGTGTGTTACAACAACAACTAGGTGTATTATTGATGAACATTCCAACAATGATTTTTGAAAAAATTCAAGTGCAGTCAGTAAAGACATGCCCGAAGAAGCGTGGTCGAAGTACTCTTGACACGTCAAGAAGTATACTTCGACCATAGCACTGAAGATGACTGCCGCAGTTGCAGTTGAAACGTATGGAGATTATAACCAAAGAAGACCACGCCAAAATCCGGAAATCAACGAAAACATTGACGTCAGCCGTAAAAGTCTACATTCCTATACTTAGTAGACATCAGTTGTGCCGATAGTTCACAATCAATTTGATCATTTATAGGATAGTGATTCCGCTGAAAGAAAATAAAATCTTTACTCACCGAGAGGCCTCTTTGGAACAATATTCTCGTCTCCATTATCTTCATCAGTGAATCCTTTTTCCGGATTCCAGTCATAAACATTATCGGGGTATGTTTGATTAAGCAAGGAAATATCATTTCTGAAAAAAGAAAATATTATGTTAATTTTCATCTGATTAATGGAAGAAAATATCAATTTTTCTAAAGAATCAAGGAATTGATGATTTATTGAAAGAAATTATGAAAAGTATTGAAATCAACTTACGGATTTCTGAATATATTTTTTGGTGGCAGTCTGTTGAATGAGCAGCACAGTCCTTCGTCAGTTAAATCATTATTGAATAATTCATCACACTCCTTTTTTTGGCTGGACCATAAGCAAACTTTCATCATATCAGAACAGGAAGTACCCACCTGCGAATAAATATAACAGATAATGAAATGACCACCATTTAAATGACTTATACCAAAACATGGATGAACAGTTGAGGAATTCTCAGAAAGATCTGTGAAAAAAATTTTCACTCCCCAGAAAATAAAGTCATTGGCTTTTTTGAAGCAGAGAAATTATCCAACCGTGTAAACTCTGAGGGTGAGTTCGAAGAGAAAACCTCGATAATTCATCCGTTTTCCTCCTCTTTTCGGATGTATTTCCATACACATACGCGGAAAACCAAAAATGCTGTTTTTCGATGTAATAATATAAAACGTTTCGTGTCGACATGGCCACCATCAACTTTTTTTGAATACGGACCTGTCTTTTTCATTACGGATATTGATAAAGCGATATATTCACAATCCAAGGGTATATCACATTTGATATTTTTATAGCGTTTCATTTGAAATAACCACCATCATCAGTGACAATGATCAAACAGAAAAACTATTTATATTATCATGAACTTTTGGGAAAAATGAAACCAATACGGTAAATCAAAGCTACATGGCAATCTACATTGAATGCTCGAATTGACGACCTCTTTGTTCAATGAATATGTTGTCGATCCAGACAGTTTCTGTGGCAATTTTCTAGCATTATAGGTGTAATACTAATACATGAATCTCTTAGTTTTTGTTTGAGATGGTCGATATCTGTACTTGGTGTTGAAAAAAAATGTCATTTATGTATCGCCAGACGAAAACATCTAAAGGAGTAAGATCTGGGGATCGAGCTGGCCACTAAATTGATGCATTGTTTCCAATATATTTTCTTGGAAATATTGCATCTAAACGTTCTCTTACTATTGCTGCATTATGGGGAGGAGCGCCGACCTTTTGAAAATATTGTATTTCATGGCGGATATTCAGTGGCAATTCATCTGAGTAGTCATAGAATTCATTGAATAGAAAATGAAGATATATTTCTCCATTCAAATGACAATCGTAAAAGAAAGGGCTAAAGATGTTTGTTCCCACGATTCCAAACCAATCATTTATTCCGAACCTTTCTTGGAAATTGATTTCCCTGTGTAAATGTTATTTGTATCATTCCACCTATAATGGATATTTTTGTTAAACCAACCTTTGTTGGTGAATTTTGATTCGTTCCGTCAATATTATTTTTTACAAATATTTCCAACTTCCCTATTTCTACGTCTTAACCACTTCGCAAATGGTACTCTCCTTCCGTAATCCCTTTCATTGAAGTGATGAACTTTGCGTATCCTGTAGCATTTATATTCATTCTTTTTCAAAATGGTTCTGGTGGATTTCATAGAAATCCCCATTTCGTGGGCAATTTCTCGTAAAGAACAATATTGATTAGCATAATTTTTGTAACTGGCCAATCATAGGTTTTCACTATGTAAATTTTTATGTGGTAATATTTACTCACCCATAACATTTATTTGATTCTCCACACTTCCAGTAACTACACATTTTTTTGTTTTCTTTCTGTCGTATGCACCATGGTCCCTCAAATTTCTTTCTAATCGTCTAAACCAGGGGTCTCCAAACTTTGAAGCCTTCGGGCCATAATGATTTCTTCAGTTTGTTCCAAGGGCCAATTTCTGCCCTTAACTATATTTCTAGACTGGGATTAACAGAGCCCTCTGGCACACCAAATTTCACATCTCTGAATCGATGAAACTGTTTCTATAAACAAATGATTGGAATGAGTTTTTCGGGAAGGTTCTCTGAGTGCTAAAGTCACCTTCCTGATTCCGTAACATTTGAGTTTTCCAAACAGTTTATCATGGAAAACACAATCGAAGGCCTTGGACAAGTCTCAAAGAATAATACCCAAATGGAAACACTGTTCAAGACCCTCGATTATTCTCTCCATCACCCTTGTTGCTGCATATATTTCTTTGAATCAGGTAGTGAATAACAATACTAGGAGTAGTTTTAGTCATCTCCACATGATGCTATCTTTGTAAGCAAAGAACGCATCGAGTTTCAAAATTACCTATAATATTGTAATCTCCTTTCTTCAGCAAAATAACACTGTCTTTTCTTCAGGGGAATATTTCTCAAATTATCAGAAGCCTCTCGAACTGAAGGGGTAATAGAATACCTTACTTCTAATCCAGTGGCCAAAAGCGATCCGAAGGCAGCCATCTTAGGAGTTTCTATTGGGTTGGACAGTATTATCTGAAATGACGTATCCCTTATAGAGTCACAATATGTAGTATTGACTTGAACTTACTTTGAATCCAACACTACTGGTGGAAGAGCAATAATATTCATCTATTTGAGCATCCATAACTACGGTGAGTCCTAAATGGGATCCAGCCCCTACAACATTTCTTAATTCTCAATAATACAGTTCAGTCTTGTTCGCAAGTGCCTATCAGGTCAAAAATTTTTCTCCGCCTCCGGAAAATATGTCACTCGATTCGGAATAGTATGTAGCTGATTGAGCTCCGTCACGCTGGAACCCGCTTTGAAAAAAATCTACCTTTTTTTTAGCCTACTTTACCTATACAAACGGTACTAATGAATGTAGTAATGTTCATGTTTTTGCAGTCTTATCCGTTACTAAGAAAGCACTATTGATATTATTCTAACTACGAAGGACGAGTATTAATGTGCCAAAAAGTTCTGAAATAGCTGAAATAGGTTCTAAATGGATTGTAGTTTATTGTAGTAACAACAAAATATTACTATATTTCATATTCTTTTGAAGAAAAGCAAAAAAGCTACTATAACAAGACTACAAATCATAAAATAACAATTGTCCTCAAACTAAAAACCATGGAGTTGATTGTAGCTGAAATTAGATGTTTGTAGTTATCATTGAATACATCAAAAATGAATGAAATAAAATCGAGTATTTTTCAACTAAACTAACCTAACATAACCTATCCCAACCATATGTAACCTGAAGTAAAAACTAACGTATTTTGGAATGCTTTATTTGGATAAAAGCATCTATCCTCAACATCTAACCTGACTTCCGAATTCAAAAACGAACTGTACATCTAGCTTGACCTTCAAATTCATAAACATATTTTCGAATATTAGCTTTGGAAAAATTTATCATTGAATAAAACTGGCCGATACTTGATGAAAATCCACATTAAAAAACTAATCAATAGAGTTTATTGTATGATTTTCACTATAAAGGGTTTTTTAAAAACCGCGACACGTGTTTCGCTCAAGCATACACTGTTTATGCTTTGTATAGCGTGTCGCGGTTTTTGTAAAANGATAATTTTAAATCGGCGCTGGTATCGAGCGGATTTATCAAGAATTTCAAGTGTTACATATGGCAACATGCTAGTTCATTTATAGTACGACAAAACGCCGTTCAACCGTGGCGTCCGATCGCAGCGCCGAATAAAAATTATCAACAATCAATTTAATTCATGTATCACTGAAATTAAACAAACAAAATAATTCAACTCATTTCAAATGAATTTTATTAAAAAGCAAAACGGCGTGCTACGCGTGCTACGCAACTTTTCATCAAACAAATTAATTCATGTAACATTTTAAATCAAGTGTCATTTAAAATAGAACAAATTTTGCGAACAATCGTTTTTAATGTGTCGAACAAATGCATGAATCAATTAAATTCAAACAAATAAATTGTTAGTTGAATAAATTGAGGAATGAATATATGGAACGGCGTTCCATAGTAATGTTATACCGGTGTACTAATATTTCCTGATATAACTTGCGTTTCATAACAGTTGATCATGAAATCTATACCAATGGCATGCTTTTACTTTCGAGAATCGATGGGGTTAAATTTTTCCAGAAACTTTTAGTGTAATCCTAATAAAACAATTGATATCAAAGCCTCACGCTTGGACTGTGTGAGTGCTCACAATTATAACCAAGAATTTTCCTGAGAGCAATGGATAATGAAACTAGTGGAACCCAGATGAATAAGAAAATTTCTTTGAAACAAACTTTTTTTTTCAAGTTCGAAGTTTTTCATAGAAAGTACATGCACTGTGAAATAAATGATCCTTAGCATGCTTAGTTTGTTGGAGAGAGGCATGAAAGTTAGAAGAGTTTTACGTGTTCGGCGATTTTCTGCTATCGAACAGAATGGATCAAAGAATTTGCATCAAATTTTTTGTGTCGAGAATCACTATTAGATCACTATTAGAAAAGTTGCTGAGGATGTCGGCATATCGGTTGGCTCAAAAACAACACCGTAATCGTGCCTTAGCCACCTTATTCACCAGATTTGCCCTCCAGCGACATTTTCTGTTCCCAAGATTGGAGAGACCCAGAACTGCTTCGAGGATTGAAAGATACGCTGGCACAAGTGTATTATATCTGAGGGAGAGTATTCTAGAACATTCTCCTGAAAATACGAACTGCTTACTGGGTAGGTAATATGGTATGCAGAGGCACATCTCATAAGTGTAGTTGGATTGACATTCCAGGTTACAGTTCGTCTGTGTGTAAGATCTGTAAAAGAAAGAAATAACTTTTTATAAAACTGAATTTATGGTAATTTACAATATATCGTACTGAGTTGTATAAGAAATTTGTGATTTTGAAAATGATTATGAATTTCATAATTCGAAGACGATTGTGGATACTAACCATCGAAACGTCGTGAAGTAACTTTTACTCTTTAATTTTTTATTTCATTTTAATTGTTCAGTTTTGAATTTTTTGTCTAGTTGTTATTTTATTGTAATTTCTTTTCAGGGTTGTTTTGCTTAATGTAATTGTTATTTTCAACTATTCTTTTTAGTTTTCATTTTTTATTTTAGAGATTTCAAATGATATATATTAATCGGATAGAAAAAATTCAGAAATCATGTCTCAGATTGATCTACGGTATTCGCAAATATGATCCAATATCTCACAAGTTAAGATCCGCAGAATGGTTAAAAATGCAAGATCGTCGAAAACTTCATTTTCTCATTTTAACTCATGCAGTAATCATTAAACAGTGTCCCCCATATCTTTACAATAAAATAAAATATAGGANCCACTTGCAAAACATTAATCTTGGGTGAAAATCCTGAGGCAGTAGAGCTTGAACCAGCTGAATGTGTATGGGTATAGGAGATTTTTTTTTAGAACTGTCCATATGGTTTTTGGGCTGACTTCCAGCTGCGGTGCCATGTTCTTGGTACTATTTGAAGAATCATCTTCTATCACATCAAGTATAGCTTATTCTAGTTCAGGCGTTGTTACAGTTTCTGGTTTTCCACCATCTGCATTATTATTGAAACTCCCAGTTTTACATAATCTTGCATGTAGCGTTCTAAATGTTTTAGAACATGGAATTACTCTGAAAAGATATCTGTCCTGGTAAATTTCCCGTGTTTCTTCCCCATTTCCATTTATCGATCCATAAATGAAGTGCATGTCAGCCATTTCAGCGTTAGTGGAATTATTCATGATGGAATCACTGCTAGTTGGCAACTCTGACTTGCATTGATATGCAGCTGGTCTGTCTCTAAAGCGGGTGCTCATGATTTGCCAAGTGGCTTCAATTTTTTTTTTCTTAAAAACGAAGCTAAATATGAAGAAAACACTAGAGACGAAAAAGTTGTATTTTCAGTAGATAGACAAAAAAAATACTACAACAACAAGTCAGTGGTGTACTATTTCTCCAATATTGTTGACTATGGTGCTGACTATAACTCCATTGGACCTAATAACTTCAATCTAGTTGGGGTTACACAAACGCTTTATTACTTCAAATGACTGTAGTGAATTTCAACCAAATCGTTGTGAACATATTCAATATATTTTATAAATACCGTTTTTCCTAACATCAACGCCCTGTATCTCAAGAACGAAGCAACTCCAGATATGTGTTCATAGAAACAATTTTTCCCTAAACGACCTAAAGAATCATCCTCTGAAGTTTCGAATCGTAATCCTGTATAGCTACTTTTTATGATTTCATGAAAGAGATTTTAATAAATATCTTGAAACTGATTTTCTTCATCCGTGATTCCCAAATTTTGGATGGACATCGTACCAGTTTTTTTCTTAAAACGACCTAACGAATCACTCTGAAGTTTCGCGCCGTATTTAGGAAACACCCTGTATAGAGGTGTTGCTAAAAATTTGTTTACGATTTGAAACTCATTTTTTCATTTAAGAATTTTCAACTGGACAGGTCGATTATGGAATCTGGCAACAGCTTCTCTCTACTCCGCTCATCTACTTTAAAAGAAAAGCGTTCGGAAGGACAAGCATATTGAATTCATGGCAGGGAATTTGTTTTCCGCGACAACGCAGATCCCTTGGAGTTCATGTTTATACTTGTGTGGAGCGAGTCTTTCAATAAAGTAATTGTATTATATGGTAGTTATTTGGTAACATTGTGTAGAGTAGTTGGTAACACTGCCCTGGCTAGTTGTAGTATTACCACGTGAATTATTGAATGTAATGACTACTTTTGATACTTAAAGTATTAAGACATTAATCGTGGCTATTAATGTTACATGATGTCAAGTAAATTGGATTGAACCCTGGAGTGTGTATAATTGAACACTGGAGAACTATGGAATCGTTATTTAAACCACCTGAGCCCCTGTGCATTTAAGGTAACCTAGCTGATAATTGGAAAAAATTCATACAAAGGTTTGATTTGTTCATGACGGCAACAGAATTGGAAAATAAAGATGTCAAGAAGCAGATAGTTGTATTCAACGAAAGTCATTTTTTGTGGAGGAAAAAATCAGTTTTTTATCGACCTTTTTTGGATTTGCAAGATTA